TGAAAAGCATTCTTTTAGCACAAAGATGTTTTCCCCTAAACATTGGTTTACCTAGGGCTCTGAAGTCACTGAATATATATCTTCATCCTTTGGAATACTGAAATTGAGGTCACATTTGATAATGATCTTTGTTTCTCTGTTTCATAAACATCCCTTTTAACACTTTTTTTTAACTCTTTGTTTTTTGTCTTTACTGACAATTTAAAGGAATTAGCTCTTTTTATATTCGAGACATACCTGATCAGCAAGATAGTTTCCTACTGTGAAGCAAAACAAAAATGTGACATTTACCCATTGGCATTTTTCTTATAACTTCTTAGGAAATTGTTGCTGTTTCTGCTTAGCTTAGATTTTTTTTTTTCAACTCAAAGGTGTAAATTATATGTAGTAGAATCAGTAAGGATCTACAGCTTGTATCTTTCAGTTAAGTCTCAGGTTGACTTCTAAGTCTGCATCTGATTAACTTTAGATGTCCAAAATTAGATGTTCGGAAATTTTTATTTAAGTAGTCTGGAGTATAAATTCAGAATAAATAATTTGGGTATTTGTTTCAAATTAATATGCTTGAATTTAATATTTGATTTAACATTTGTTGTGGAGTTGATTTTTGTGATTTGCTTATTGAAATATTTTAATTTATATTTAGAATTTTAAAATGTCTCAAAAGTGTTCTGTTTTTGTATTAGCATACTGTTAATTCAACTTATAAGTCAATTCTGGGAGTTAGAATATATGTATCAAAGTAGTGGATAGCTCTAGATATACCTTATGTGTGTTTATACAAATATCTGTGTATATTGACCATTAGGCAGAGTTATATAATGTATTGTCTTTAATTGTTTTGTGTAAGTAGATGGGGAATATACTTTTGCTTATTCCTTTTCCCAGAGGCTATTTTGTTATAAATAAGTAAATTCATTTGAGAACCAGTATCTTAGTTCCTGTATCTATTTTTTTTTTCAGAGAAAATATAGTTGGATAGTTCTTTGTGTAAGTTTTACCAAAATGTTAGCAATTTTGAATTTTGACAACATTTGGGTATCTCTAATTCAAAAATCAAAAATCTGAAATGTTCCAAAATCTAAAACTTTGTGGCCAGCATGCCACAAATGGAAAATTTCACACATTGATCTCATGTGATGGGTCACAGTCAAAAGGCAGGCACACTAAAAGTATTGTATAAAATTGCCTTCAGGCTATATATAAGAGGTACATAAAACATAAATGAAAACACTTGGATATCTCAGAAATTATGCAGAAACAAAGACATACATATATGAAAACAAAATATATCTTCGAATGTAGTTAGGAAAGGGTAAGAAGTCATAGTATAAGAGAGTTAGATACTGAAAGTCTTTTAATTTATTTTTGCTTAGGACTTATTTTTTGGTAATTAGCATTTTGCAATTTCTGTAGTTATAGTGACCTTAACTTTTGAATTTTAGATTATTTACAATATTATGCTTATTTACACATTTTAAATAAATAGTCATATGTTATTTTAACTGTATGACTTTTTTGGCCTCCACCAAAGTTTTATTCAGGCAAATTATGATTTGACAGGGAGAATCTGAAAATGTTCTTGTAGTCATCCATTATAACTTATTTTCTTTCCAAATTTATTAGTTACTTTGAAAGTCAGATAATTTTCTTCCTTTCTTACTGTTTTGAAAGAAAATTGTTGATAGTTGCCCAATCATGCTTCTTTCTCTTAAACTTAATCTAATACCTTCTTTAGTAGGTTTTATGATATTATCTTTATGATAGTGGTTTGTTAATATGTTGCTTTTTTCCCATAGCATAATTTCACTAAGATTTTATCTTGATGTCTCTTGAAGAAATTAGAATATTTCCTTGTCCCTAAATGTGTATTCATTCTCAAACATGAATGTGTAGCTCTACTTTAAAATGAGTTTACAATTCTAATAATAATGAATGATGTTTAATTATGTTGTCATTATTAAAATACATAATTTTTATTCTTATTTCTTGATTGTCTTTAAAACATTTGTTACTCTGTTACTTGAGTGAGAGATACACATCTGTAATAATTTTTAAATAGCTGTTTTATTAAATGTAGATAAATGGGACAATATTTGTTTTCTTGAGAGTCCTGAATTTGCAGTTCTCTCCAGTTATTACTGCCTGTTCAATTTTGGATTGTCACTTGGGACTTAACATCACAGGCTTTTACCTGATACTTGGAGAGTCAGCAAAATTGTAAATTCACTCTTCCTATGATCAAAGTTAGGGAGTTAACTTTAATTTTGAAAATTTCTTGGTAAAACTGCTAAATTCCATACTATTTTATACTCTTTGTGATAGGCTGTTGGTGTTTATAATGTGTATTTTTAAATTAAAGCTGAAAGGACAGTTTCTCATTTCATATTCCATATTAGTTTATGTGAACAATCAAGCTTTTACTGTGGGAGATTGTTGCCTGGACTTTAAATCCTGCCTTCTAGTATTTTTAGGAATAGGAATGTTAAATCAGCATAGTTAGGGAAGCCCTTAATACTAGCATTTTAATTTTCTTGGAATCTTGGTGTTCTAGTAGTTTCATAGTTATGAATAGCAAACATAATTTATATACACACGTTTGTCAGTATTCTGTATTAAGCAGTGGGTGTTCCATTTCACAATTTTATCATCATTGCTTTTGTTTGCATACTTCACAAGTTTTTTAATTGAGGAGGTTCACCTATGAGAATACCTGTAATTATTTGTATTCCTCCTTTAATGGTATACCTGTTAAATCATCACATTTGTCAGCGATTTGAATGTAATAGAATTGATTCTTGCTCTGGTAGATATATAACAGTGTAAGAAATTAAAATTTTAATACATTTAGTTCCTCAGTTTTTATTATCTCAAGTTTTTAATTTTCCCTGTTGTAATTTAACCAATTTATCTTCATTTTGAACTTTTTATTTAGTAAGTCTTCTCTATATTTATAACTCTTTTTATCTTTCTGTATAAGGGTATCTCGGTCAGATACCTGGAATTCTTTTTCCACTACAAGTGTAATCATTAGTTTTCTTCTTTTTAAGTTCAAATCAGTATATAATGTAATGGATTTGTTCCAAATGTGTCTGGTGAATTTAATATTAAAATGTATGTTGGAATTTCAGTGCCACATAATTTATTAATGAGTGAATTCTATTTAAGGTAAGCTGTCCTAGACTTCAATCAAGAGCATTGAAAGTTCTCTTACATACCAGTTTTCGCTATGTGAAAATGTTTAAAGATGTTTTAGTATGACTCTTGTTATATGGTGTAATGAGTCAGAGTAATCAATGAAAAAGATCTAGGATCTTTTTATGCCTCAGTTTTTCATCTCTAGGAGAGTGGTATCTTAATTATCCATATTTATGGAAGAGATTTGTAATTCCATCTCTATATTACTACTTCTTAGTTTAGAAAGTATATGATGTGATTGTTTTTATTACCAGAATTATATTAATTGCTTGTCTTAGGTTTAACTTTTAAGTTAGTTTGTAGTTCTCTCAGATGTCATTGTTGTCCTGGAAGCCCTGTGGTTGTCAAGGGAAAACGAACTTAGCAGTAAAAACTGGTTGTGAACAGATCTGAAATTGGCTGATGGATGTGCAAGCAACTCATAGTTCATTATACATGTGTATGCTTCTGTGTGTTATATTTTTAGAAAAATTGATAATGTGTGAAGGACATGAATATATTCTGAAAATAGCTTCTTTTTAAAATTAATTCTTGAAGCTCCCTCTACAAAATTTGTATGTCATCTGCTGATTTTTTGAGGTGAATCTTTTTTTATGGCTGTTTACATCTGTGCTTTCTATAGTGTACTTGTTTTGTGAAAACATGAAATAAAAATTTAAAAAATCATATAGAGTATACCAATTAAATCTTTAGTTAAACCATCATTTACATTTCTCCCAGAGGATTAATACAGTTTATTGAATACAGATGTAAAGTGTTGGATCTGTAAAACAAAATAATAAGAAAGTAACTTGTAAAAAATTAGTGAGAAACAGTGATTTAGTTTTTTTCTGCCTGACTTAGTGAGTTAAGGTTGTTCTAAATTAATGAAATATAAATATCTTATTTGAATATATTTAGAGAATATAGAATTTAGTATGAACAACACAAGTGTTCAAGTCATGGTGGTGGTTTTAATAGTAGTCTAAAGAATTCCAAATTAAAATCTTGAAAATAAAGCATTCTGGTTTAAAGTATAAAGAGATAAAAAGTTTTCCTTTTTAAAACTGGTTCATAAGAGACTTGTGTTACTAAAAGCCCTCAATCTTTTGAATTTTAAATTTGTTAATGATTTTCTTAGTTTGTGGTATTTTCTTTTTATCAGGTACCTAGATGATTGCTGGTAATTTAAAATACTTTATACACATCGATTATATATGTTACAGAAATAGAAATAGTTAAATTATAATTAACTTTTGATTTTTCATGCCAGTGACAGGAAGAATCTGACATTTTCAACAGTCATAAGTCAAAATAAGTAAATTTAATTTTAGATTTTTTTTTTTCTTTTAAGGTTTTTGAGTCAGGGTTACCCAGGCTGGACTCTGGCTCCTTGGGTTCAAGTGATCCTCCTGTCTCATCCTCCCACATAGCTGGGACTTCATTCATGTGCTACTTTGCTCAGTTTTAATTTTATATCTTTATGTGAACATTTTCAGCAAATTTACTTTTGTAAATTTTTTTATATAAGAAAAATATAAAATATTGAAATGTGTGAGGATTATGAACTAAAGGACAACTGGCAGTGGTGGTTTAGAAACATACCTGGAGGTTAGAGAAAATGAACTGGAATTAAAAACTTTCTATCAATAGAGTTAATTACAATAAGATTATAATTGATGAATGAGTTTGGTATTTTTATAAGCATAATTTAATATATTTTCCTTGTGTCTCCTAAATTGAAAAAAGAATCATGTTTAAGTTTTAAAATATAATTAGGAAATAATAAATTTTGTCCTTTTTCTTTTTCTTCTTCTTTTTAGGGAATGAGTATTATAGAACAATTAGATCCTGTATCTTTTAGCAATTACTTGAAGAAATACCATAATACTATATGTGGAAGACATCCCATTGGGGTGTTATTAAATGTGAGTATCCTTAGGAAGCTTTTTAAATGTGAATAACCTTAGGAAGCCTTGACTTAAAATATTCGATCCTGTCATGTTTCAAAATATGTCATTATCATGGTGATATATCATATCATCATTTGTTTTATGTACATGTAGTTATTTTTTTTCTTAGTACTTTTAACATAATTTTGGATTTCTGTTCTTTGGTTAGTTGAATAAATTTATCAGTGGGATATACGTCACTACTTTGTTGAGTACAAAACAATAAACTACTTTTCTGTTAAATATAGGAAGTTGTTTAGAGAGTCATGTCTTCTCTTGACTCTCTGTTGATTCCAATAGGTTCTTTATAAATATAAGGTAAAATGACTTTACAAAAGATATTAATTTTTATTTTTTAATGTCCTAGATTATAAAAAATAAGTGAAAGCTCCTGCTCTTTTGTATACGTTTCAAATTAAAGTCAGATAAGAAGAACAGACTCCAACATATTAAGATGGAAGTGGCCAAGATTTGGTTTAGAGAAAAGCAATAAATGTCTTGTGGCTTTTTAAAAAACTAGTTTTATTAATTATAGAAAGAAGCAAGGTGGATGATGACTGATGTTTAATTATCAAGAACATGTGTGTTTTGTCTTTAAAAACAAAAAATGATAATGCTTATTTAATTTAAAAGATGATAGGAGGCAGAAGTTTTGGTTAGCTGGGTTTTAGAAATATATTTAACATTAATTTCCCCTAAATAAATAAATAAATAAATAGTATGGACTTTCTGAAAGAAAATTTAACCTATTATCCTATTGCCCCAATGTAGAACCCTATAAAAACTTAAATTGAGCAACAAATATATCACGGTAATTTTGAAATAATTGAATATTTATTATGTACACAAAATTGAAAACTTGGAACATAGTGGGTTCAGAAATAAGAGAGAAGAGATATACTCAAGAAGTAAGAGTGGGCTCATTTGCTTGGAAAGGTAGAGAAATAATGGAGCAGGTAATATAGTCCAGAATAGTCTAGGGTAAGACCTTAAAGTTAGTGTTCTCTAATATGATTTGAAAGCTAATGTGGGTTTTTCGGAAGATGTTTTCTCATAATAAGTATGGATTGACCAAAAGAAAAGCTGTCAAGAACTTAAAACTAATTTCTGAAGCTTAAGGTAGAATAAACTGCACTAATTTCCTAAATTCTGAATTGAATGAAGAAAAATTTATAAATTATATGATGAACCCAGTCTACATTTAAAATAAAAATTTTAGCATAGTTCTTAGATCTGTAACTTGATTGGTATATGTTTTAAATTTAGTCAAAATTAGACAAAAGTAGACCTCCAATATATTAAGAAAGAAGTGGCCAAGAATTTGTTTTGAGACTAGTGATAAATATATTGTAGCTTTGAAAAAAAGTGGTTTTATTAATTATGGAGAAAAGTAAAGTGGATCATGACTGATATTTAATGTTCAAGAAACTAAAGAGTTTCTTTGAGAGAAAGAAATAAGCAGTCCTCATTTTTTTTCCAATTTAATATCAGGCAATGAAAGAAATTTAAGAAGTCTAAGCTTCACTCACAATATGAAAAAGTCAAACTATTAGTACATTCAGAGAGCTCACTTTTTTTATCTGATGTCCTATATGATGTCTGTCATAACCAAGATTTTTTTTTTCCCCCTAGGCTATCACAGAGCTCCAGAAGAATGGAATGAATATGAGCTTTTCCTTTTTGAATTATGCCCAGTCAAGCCAGTGTAGAAACTGGCAAGACAGTTCCGTGAGTTATGCAGCTGGAGCACTCACAGTCCACTGAAGCTCTGAATCCTCAGGGATGCCACCTGCACATACTCATACTCTGTCTGGGGTCCCAGCCTAGCCTCTACCAAGATATTGGTTCTGGTTTGGGGGGGGATTCTGAAACCTCAAACTAATAGAACTTTCTTCTCTTTTCTAGTAGGTGTAGTCCTTCTTAATTTCAGTTCATTAAAAAATGCTTTATAGTTTTGGGCAGTGGAAGGAAGGCTGGCATCAAAAATATTTTGATTATAAAAGGTGACAATGTAAGGCCCAGTTGTGGCAGACAGATTTTTGAAAGTAACTTGTAAAGCATTTACCATATCCTAAATTTGCACTCTTTGCAGACTTGTGCACATATATTCCGCTTTCAGAATAGTTTTGCAAATTGTACACAAACAAACAAAAAGGGGTGGAAGCTTTTTAATAAAGAAATTGCATTTATAAATGATCTGTATTAGAATATAATAAATCTCCAGTTATAGACAATTACTACCCATATTGTACAACAGATACCTTCTATTTTAGTTGCTAATAAAGGGCTACACAACTCAAAATAGTCTGATTTAAACTTATTGCTCTGTGGTATATGAAAATTGTTTTTTATTAATTCCATCTCAGAATTGTTAAATATGGTAATCCCCAGCTCTTATGTAAAAATATATTAGGATGTATTTTATATTTTACATATTTATGTGATATTTTTTAAATCACAGAAATGAGAGTTATATAATTTTAAAGTTAACTTTTAAAATTACATTCATTTGTCTTTTTGTGTGTGACATCCCTTTATGTCATTACTATATTGTAATAGAAAATAATTCCACGATTGGTGAAAGAACATACCTGTAGTCCTTTACTTCAAAGATCATGTTTGACAGTCTGCAAATGAGGAAACATTGAAGAGTGGTGTTAGTGATTTTCAAATCATTGCAGACCATACACTGCTATACTTTTGTAGTGTTTTAATCAATTTGACCCTTTTACTTGAATTTTTAGTAAGAAATTATTAACAATATCAATAATAACAACAAAAACCCACTGGACTTAAACTTTTACAATTTTTGTTGTTATAATTTTTGGTGCGGTTCTTCCAACTAAAATTATGGTATGGTGTTGTATTTCTTTCTTTTAACACAGACAAATTCTAGATACTTTAAGGAAAAAAAAAGTAATTTATTCACTCACTGAAAAAAAAAATTTAGCTACCATTCATGTTCTATATTATACTTATTTTAGCACAACATTGGGTATCCACATTATATTGCAGAGTGCTTATATCTTCAATGTTATGCCAAAATATAGCAATTTTAGATTCCTTGCACCAATTGTACTTAAAGATTTGCATTCTCATTTATTAAATATCAACTCCCTAAACTCAGGAATGAAATAAAATACCATTACCTTTTGGATTCAAAATTACGCACCTATATATGTGTAGAAATTGTAGTTTTCCACATTAGTGATTTGTTTTTCATTATTTAGATATACTTTTGAGAACCATAAATATTTATTTTTTGTTTAATATACATTTTAAAAGTTTCCAAATTGAGTACAGAATGATTTTTTAAAAGAATGTTTTCTGAATATCATAGAAACACATAAGCATTTTAGAAAATTTGGAAAATATTGAGAAGTGTAAAGAAAAGGAAATATAATCTGTAATTTTACGGCCCAGAGATAATACTGTTAATATTTTTCTGTGTTTTCTTTTAGTATTTGTCTATGCTATTTACATGTATGAATGTGTATATATGTGTTTGTATGGGTGTATAATAACAAAATTAAGATATTGCTGACCATATAGTTGTTTACTCTGTTTTTTATAGCCTAACATCATATCATAAGCACCTACTCCTGTCTTTGTAAATGGTTTTTTAAAAATGGATGGCTACTATTCTGTTGTGTTCTATGAAAATGCTATAACCAGTTCTCTCTTTGGGTGTTAGGTTGTTTCTAATCTTTCACAATTTTATAGTGGGATGGACATCCTTATGTATAAAATTCAAGTTCTATATTAGACTTGGTCTCTAGGATATAGTTATAGGAATAGAATAAATAGTTTACATAGTAATAACTTCTTAGACTTTTTAAAACATTGCCAAATTACCCTTCAGAAAGATTGTACCAAATTAGCAGCATTGGGTACCCATTGTGGTGCCCCTTCACAAACATAATTTTTTTGATCTTTGACAATTTGTAAAGAGACTAATTGGATGTTTCTTCAATTTTATTTTATATTATTTTACTAAAAATTGCTTCCTAGTTGATCATTTACTCTTCTGTACTTTTATAGTTGATTGATTTTAAAAAAGACAAGAGGATTGCTGAGGTTGAGTGGCGTTAACAGTCCTGCACTTTTAAAACTAGAATATTTCAATCTTACTCTACCCTTTTGTGGAACATGAGCATATCTTTTCTATCTAATTATGAAGTAGAAGGAATTCCAAACTGATAGTTGAATGTTGGGTTTTAGTTTCGTCTCTGCCCCTCGTTAGCTTTCTCAACTATTTCATGTCACATTGGAATTTTCACATCTGTAAAACATGGAGGTGTCTCAAAATACTTTGATGTTGTTATTTCATTTTTTAATAGATTCTGGTGTCATATATGTTAAATAGCTACATGATTGAATTAGATCAGAGGAATTATCTTTTGACTTCAACTCTATGTAGGTGAAAATGAAAATCTTGTTATTTAACTTAAAAGGGAAATTAATTTGCATTATTTAATGCAGTTAATATTACCTAAATTGTTGATCTTAAGCTTTCCTATTTTAAGTGCCTTTAAAAATTTTTTTATATTTCAAATTTAAGATGTAAAGGAAATTATTAGTAGTTCTGTACAGTTGCTTCTTTATTATGTATTTTTGAGTTGTTGGCAGCAGCTTTTTTTTTAACCATAAATTTCACAGAGCAGAATATTCATGGATTCTTTACTGTCCCACTAGTGGGTCCTTGAGAAATATATGTTAAAGATTAGGTCAGTAATCAGGTAAGTGCTCAGTCTTGGGTGATGTTAAATCTTGTACAGAGTAGAATAAAGAACTAGCCAGATGTTCTCGTGTTTACATTTACATATTTTAATGTGAATATTGGTTTCCTGAACTAGTTAATAGTTATTGTTCTAGATCTCAAATTTTGCCTTGGAAGCAAATAGTTCATTCCCCTAGATTAGGGGTTGGCAGATGTTTCCTGTGAAGGATCAGATAATAAATATTTTAGGCTTCACAGGCTCTATGGTCTCTAGGTACAACTCTTCTCCTTTGCCATTGTAGTACAAAATTTGTAGTGCAAAACTAGCCATAGACAAAGTGTAGTCAAACAAATGTGAATATATTTTAATAAAACTTTATTTACATAATAATGGTGCACAGGATTGGCCTGCAGACCATAATTTGCTGCCTGTTGTCCTAGATTGTAGTTTGTTTGTTGTTCAAAGTTAGCTAAAAATCGAAACTACAACAAGTGATTTTAAGTTTATTCTTTTCAACCATGTCTTGAGTTGATGCAGTCTAATTGGATTTGAGTGTTATGATCACAAAGGCAAATGGAACCCAGTATTGAAAACTAGGTCTTTATTTGCTGAAATCCATTGAGTTTACTTTGCTGACATATTAATCAAAAGGAAGGATCAGTGGAGATTGTTACAAATTCTTTATTTTTTATTTTGGTTCTGGGGGTTGAACCCAGTACTTGTGCATGATAAAGTACATGTACTACTGATGAGCTACATCCTTAACCTGTTGCAAATTCTTTAAATTATTTTAAGTTTTGGCTACCTAGATAATAACAAAGGATAGATCAAATGTACCTTTTGATCTACCTGAGTATTTTAGGACACTAGACCAATATTTTTTTAAAAACTATGAAATGTGAGAGTTTATTTTGTTATATGGACTTTTGGAAAAATAACTACTATCTTCTATCATTTTATTTAAACAATGACCCCCATCCCCCCACCCCTCACACTATTAAGGAATGTCTTAAACTCAGAATAAAGGAGAGTACTTTAACTTGAATAACGTTAAGTTGATAAAAACAATTACTACATTGTTACCTTCTCATTTATTCAGTATCACTGCGAGGAAAACACATACCTCATCAAGTGATAGTATCTAGTATATAAAGTGGCACCTGGGAATAGCTGTGATATAGTTGTTGAAAAACCTAATGTAGTTGTAAAGTGTTAACAGTCATAAGTCACATGCATACTGCTGTTTAGACTAAAAATTGCATCCTATTAGGTTAAATTGTAAGTGCCACATAGTAAGAGGACCACTATGAACTGGAGTGTCAGTACAGAGGCAACCAAAATGATGAAGGCCTATGTGAAGAGTAGGATGTAGTTGAAGAAATTTGTGATATTTATTTTGGAGAAGATAAGTTTAAGGAGAGGGGGATTTCTTTAGATGTTTCAATGATAGTCAAATATAAGAGGAATAGAATCATTGTGTTTTATAGATAGAAAATTAGGAGTAAAAAATAATGGTTTCTGGTTCCGCATATAATGTACTATATGAGGCTTTCTAGTAATGAAAATTGGCTCTGTCCTCATAAACCATTGGAAATATTCAGACAAAAGCTTAGGTGAGTGATTCTCAAAGTAGAATTCTCAAAGTAGAACTAATAAAACTTCAATATCACCTGAAGATATTTTATAGATGCTTATAACTTTAATAATTACTATTATATATCACTGAGCTAATGAAATTAGTACAAATAAAATGGAATTTACCAGGGGTTGGGGTTGTGGCTCAGTGGTAGTGCGCTTGCCTAGCATGTGTGAGGCACTGGATTCGATCCTCAGCTTCACATTTAAAAAAAATAAATAAAGGTATCGTGTCCATCTACAACTAATAAAGAAATGATTTTTTTAAAAATAAAATTTATCTCTTGTATAAAACTTAAATTATTTTTAAATAAAAATAATTTTAATTACTTATCACTAACTTTGAACAGATTATAAGTTGAAAAGATGATTATCACTTGATGGTAGAGCCTTACATCAATTAGTTCATTTGTTTTAGTTAAAACATTTAGATAGAAAACAAAGTTCTGGCTATTTTCTAATATAAATTTAAATTGATCTTTGAATAAGTGGCTACTTTCTTAAACAGGTGCTTCTTCAGTCTAAGACACAGCCATATCAGTAGCAGAAAAGGGTGCTGAAAAAAGTAACTGTTTTTGTGTCTTGATGTCAGAATATTTGGAGGAAAACCAAAATCAGCTGGCAGATAAAGTTTTTCCTGTTGTTTTTCTGTTACTCTCAGCACACAACCTGCATGTATGACTGAGTGGTGTATGGCATGCCATCATTAGTGACCATGCTTCACATTCTTATAGATGCTCCCTCAGGTAATAGTGATAACTGAGACCTCTGCCTCCTTAAGGTTGCTATTTTGGGTGGATTTTTTTTGCTTGTCTTATCTCTACAAGTTCATTACTACTATGTGAAGAACTTTATAGTGTTTCAGATTTGTCATTTATTCCAGGGTTTTCTGTGGATTCCAGAGTGGTTTAACCTAGATGTATTAGATTATTCTTCATGTGTGGATGTGCAGAGGTATGCTTGCACATTCAGAGTTTTGGTCATCACACTATGAAAATAATGGGGAAAAAAAGCCAGTTTTTTTGAAAGCCATAATATAATGCAATTGGTTTCTTATTATAAATTGTAAATGATGTTCAAGTGCACACTTCATACTGCAAAGTAAAGTTTGTAACTATTTGACGTAGTCATATTTCCCTGTCATCCTAATAATGAAACCAAAGTGAATATACATGGGCCATTATTTAAAAAAAAAAAAAAAAGCTACTAAAGGCCAAATGTATTCAACTATAAGGAGGACCTGAGATCTGATCTTAAATCTGTCAATGTAAACTTCTGAAGAATATTTTATTTTTTCTGATCATGATATTCTGAGTTATTTACCTGATGTGATGTTATATACATTTAAGTAAAAAGTGCTAAAACAAGATGAAAACTAAAACAGCAGATCATATTGACTGAGTTTTGTGAGTTTCTAAAAAAAATAAAGGTATTTTTAACTTAACTTTTTTATAAATGGAATTTTTTCTGAGAATTTTTTCCTTTTAAAATATATTCTTTTGAATCTGATTAATAAGTAGACATTCAATTGGTGTTTGTTCAGTTTCATTGAATTGAATGTTGAAGCAAGGAAAGCAAGTGACAATTTTCATGTAAAATATTTTAAATGCTGGTCGTGGTGGTGCACGCCTGTAATCCCAGTGGCTTGGGAGGCTGAAACTTGTGAGTTCAAAGTCAGCCTCAGCAGAAGTGAGGCACTAAGCAATTCAGTGAGTCCCTGTCTATAAATAAAATACAAAATAGGGCTGGGGATGTAGTGCTCAGTGGTTGAGCACCCCTGAGTTTTAATTGAAGTTTTTCTATTTTCGGGTTTTTTAATATATATATTTTTTTAGTTTTAGGTTGACACAATATCTTTATTTTATATTTATGTGGTGCTGAGGATTGAACCCAGTGCCTCATACATACTAGGTGATCACTCTACCACTGAGTTGCAACCCCAGCCCCTCTATTTTTGGGTTTTAATTGTGAAAATCTACCTCCTCACTGATGGGCCGAATCGAGTGTTCCTAGTCTCTCTGTGTAATGCCAAATGAAATGAAATGAGTGACAGTGTAAGTGATTTGGTAAATGTGAAACCATTGGCTCATGATTCCTAGGTAATTTTTAAGCCGTGTCCTGTAGTGTGTACCATAACCTAATGGTGTTGCAAAATATTTAAAAGTTAATTAAAATGTACATTAGCCTCATGACCAATGGCATTTCTAGTCAACTCTAAAGAAGAAAGACACTGTGGAATGCTAGACGCACTGGACTAGAATCCATTTTCAACTTTGTGGGTGAGTTGCTGCTTCTTTGCTGAAAAGTCACTGCCCCTTTCTAAAACAGAGTTTATTTCTTTATTAATGTGAATCGAATAATATGACTTCTAGGAGCCTCTCCACCTTATTTATGTAATATAGTGACCAGACATTTTTACCTTCATTTTACTGATGAGGTACCAGAGACTCACAAATTGCATGACTTTCTTAAGTTTATATAGCCATTTAGTAGCAAAGCTAGGACACGAAGTTGGTTTTTATTTCCAGTTCTGCATATTTCAGATACTGTTCCACATTCTGGATTTTGTTTTTGGTGTTGGTGGTTTATAATAATCCGTTGAATTTAAAAAGCATTGGGGTTTTGTAAGTTTAATTAAAATGGAAATTATTCATAGAAATGCGTATTTTGATTAATTTGTGTAAAAGTAGATTCTTTTTGTTGTGTGGTTCGGATACTTCCCTAACTCTGTATTTCCATTTCTCTGATGGGAGGTTTTCTTTAAGATCTCAAAAATGTACTCTGCTGCTTATTATTACATCATTACAATGTACTACTTCTGTGTAATAGAACAATGACAAAAATGAAATTTAAATAATTTGGTATGTGAGTCTTAACTGATGGTGAGACTTTGTGGCAGATATTTGACTCTCATCGTTGTAGCCCATATAAAAAGTGTCCTGCAAGCACCTGTGATTCTGCCTTGAATTTTTTTCAGCTATACACAGAGCAGAAGATAATGCCCTGGGAGCAGCCTTCAGCCAGTGATGGATGGGAGTTGGAGGATGATTATTCTAGCTTTGTCATCTTTCTGGTGATAGTCTCAGGCATTTTTGACTGTTGTCTAGAATTCCCAGAAAGACTGGTCATCACTGCTCATAGCAGGAAACTCTAATACATATTTTTTTTATTTCCTCTCTTCTCTGTATCACTTCCTGTTCCTTTATCACTGTTTCCTGGGATTACCTCCCAAATAAGCCTCTTGATGTTGAAACCTTGTTTCAAAGTTTGTTTTTTGGACAAACTAAGATTCTCTATTATGGAAATTATTTATTAATAGTGTTCATATTATATTTTTAAAGATTTCTTTTGGATAAAATCTGAAATCTGTATTTTAATATTCTATTTTAATTTGTCTTATAATCCCATCTTTGTTTAGTTTAACTTATTTAGTTTCACTTTATCACAAGGAAAAGACTCAAAGATAGAACTAAAAGAAAAGGTTAGAACTCAAGTAGAAATGTAAAGCAAAAGATCTTAGGTGGAAATCTTTCTACACAGTTTTTTATAAAATTAAGGGTAGTATTGTGAATAACTTAAGGACAAAATAGGTTATATATTTTTGTAGAAATTCATTTAAAATGGAATTTTTTCAGTCTCAGAGATTATTTGATAGTTGGGCCCAGTTTTCTCATATTTTACCAAGACCTGCTTATTCATAATTAGCGACTAGGAAAGCCTTACCCAACATTGATTGTAAAGATAAATTTAGATAATTGCATAGATAATTTCTACAAAGATTATTCTGTGGTGTTTGTTAAAGCAAAACTTCTTGTGATCTTATTAAGAAATGTGAAATTTATGAATTGAACAAGTTCCACATTAAATTTGAAGTACATTGTAAGTAAAAAAGAAACTATGCGGTCAATTCTGAGTTGGGTTCTTTGTATGGATTATTCTATTTGGATAATTTGTTGCTTTGTTTGCCTGTGTTTCTTGCATCTTGTTCTTTAATATCTTTAAAATTTTTTTTTAAAATTGTACTGGTTTTTATAATAATTATTTTTTAAATGATGTAGAAATTAGTATTTTTGGCATGTTATTCAGTCTTCTTTCCTATGTAAAATGAATGTGGTTTGTGTGTCTCAAATATAGTTATATATTGATTTTGTGAGATGTAACATGGATGAAATTGTTAGCAAGGGTATAATTCTATTTATGAAGCTCTAGTAAGATTAGCATTCATGATAGATTAGCAATAAGAAAACATTTAAATAATATATTTTAATATGTTGGTTATTAAATAACATCTTTAGATTAATCTGTTTTTTTTTTTTTAAAGCAAAGATACCAGGTGGTAGATAGAATCTGTTTAGTTGCCTTGTGGCATTCTCAGATTCTACCATGTACTTGTGGATATATGATGGGACGTTTTTTGACTCTGAAACTGTACTTGTCTTTTGTAATGGACAAGATCAACTGCATGATTAGATTGGATAATTTGGTTTTGGGGAAAACCTGTCTTTCACTTGGGACATATCAAACTGCTTTAAAGTGACACCCTCACAGATCTAAATGGTGGCACCGTGGAATAAGGTTATCTGGTAATTATTTGCAAATATGCTTGTTTTGGTAAAAAATCTTGTTGCTTTTTTAGAGATATTATTTCCAAATAGCTATGTAATTTATTACTCTATTCAGACTCGAGCCTTTTGGCATTTCAGCTATCCCAATATAGCAAGTTAAAAATCTGTGTAAGAACTAGATGTTTTAAAAACTTGCCCAGAAAGCTGGCCCAATTTCTGAACAGTAAGTAACTTCTACAAGGAATACTAAGATAAAATTGTTAAAAATGGGGGATGTCCTTTTAATATCTTAGCTGGAAGTTGAATCCATATGTTAAATATAACTTATAAAGCAAGTCTAGAAAATAGTCTGTTTTCAGAAATGTACATAATTTCCATTACCAGTAAACCTCTTCTAAACTACATTTATACTAAGTATTGAAGTTCAGTTGAGTCTTTGTTAGGTTTAAGATGTATTTGTTTTATTAGTATGTCAGATATTTGTGTTTGACATTGTTGTCTCTGTGGATGTTATTTTGATGAGTGTTATGTAAAGGGTTAGTCTGTACATGAAAGTTCCACTTTGTATAATTGGTATCTTGTAGTAATCTAGTCCTTGATAAATTTGTTTCATTTTTTGCCATTTAAAAAAATTTTTCACTTTTATTATGTCTAGGGAAACAATTTTAAACTAAATGGTAGTATTATTAATTAAATAGTCAAAGTTTTAATATCGTTAATGCTATAATTATGATGAAATTTAGGTCTGGTATTTTACATGGAGTTTTAAGGTCTAAAAGATATCACTCTTCACTCATGTATTAATATAATAGAGTTATCAATATTAGATCTAAAATTGCTTAATTATAACATTTTAATAGTAATCTAGAGATTTTTGTATTATTTACAAGTGGATTTCTGTTTTCACAATTCAATTAAGCTTATTTGAAATGGAGATTTAAATAATCTTTCAGATAATAGAAGTATGGTAATTATGTAGTGTTACTAGCTTATTACTTGAAAAGCACTTTGGTTCAGTGTATGATATCAGCTTTTACATGATACAGTTACATATTCTTTCGTGTTTTCCATGGAATTTTAGCTTTTTAATTGAGGAGAGAGGTGTCTATAATAGCTTGAGATTTCTGTGCCCAACTTGTGGACAGAAGTTACTCCTGCTATAAAATGGTTTGGGAAAAATATTTTCAGCAGAAATATTTTAATAATTTTAGTATTACATTGTAACAGAAAGCTTTCTGGTTGGAATCTGTAGCTTTTCTTACTGGCTTCTATCTTATTCTCCCCACCCTTCCTCTTCTCTGTTTTTTAAATTTTAGTAGTTATATTGCCACTGCCTTCTCTACCAGTTTAGGCTTACTAGGCATTTGAAATTGGAGTTGCTTTCAATGAATTTTAGTCTTTCTGGCCAAGATGAACCCCCCTCCCTCTAAATAATGAGAGATATTTTCTAATATCAGAGCTTGCAGCATTCAATATTCTTAAAGAAAAACATGAACCTTTACCAAGTTTTTTACTCATTTGCAGTTCAGCAGAGGAACATCCTCAAGAAAGTAACAGATGGATTATGTAAGAAAATAGAGCCATTAAGGCTTTTGGGCATGGGGATTTTGTCATGTTCAATGAAGAATAATGTTTAGTCAAATGAAGAATAAT